CGGGAGCAAAGAATTTTCAGTAACCACCAGAGGCTCGCCCCGATGACAGCAACCGGCACCCCACTTTGGTCTGGCACCCCTGCTCACCTGCTTCATCATCCTGCCATGGCCGATGCCTGCCCTGTTCCACGCACACCCCCTGGTGGCCAGCACACATCATAGTGACCAGTTGTTCCACCATTCGGTCTATTTGCATATTAGGGTTATATATATATATAACATATTAGGATATAATACACACACACACATACACTAGAGGCCCAGTGCACAAAATTTGTTCACTTGAGGGGGTGGGGGGATTCCTCAACCTGGCATGCTCCCTCTTGCAGTCCGAGAACCCTCGGGTGATGTCCCACAGGGAGCAGGCCTCAGCCGGCAGTCAGACATCCTTAGCGCTGCCGCAGAGGCCGGAGAGGCTCCCACCACCACCGCTGCACTCACCAGCCATGAGCCCAGCTTCTGGCTGAGTGGCACTCCCCCTGTGGGAGCGCACTGACCACCAGAGGGCAGCTCCTGCATTGAGTGTCTGCCCCCTTGGTGGTCAGTGCACATCATGGCGACCAGTTGTTCTGATATTCAGTCGATTTGCATATTGGCCTTTTATTATATAGGATATATATTTTTTAAATATTAAAATAGAATAGGTAAAAAAGGGGTTCTTTTCTATTAAGCCATGATAGGTAGGGTAAAGATAAATGATCCTATGTATGCCTATAATTTATCTTTTTCTGAGTCCTTATTTGAACATTTAAAAAAACAAACTATTGATAAAATTTCAGTGGGTCCAATGTAGAAACAACCAATAAACTGAGGCTGGGATCAGTCACCTTCAGGTGAACATGGGATTCAGAATCAGAAGACTAGAATTCAAGTTCTAGTTCTGTTATTTTTTACACATTAGACCTTGAGCTAATTACTTCATTTCTCTGAGCTTCATTTATAACTTGAACCTCACAAGCTATGAAGATTAAAGTGGCATTTATTATATGGGAAAAGGACATCTGCATATTCTGCATGTTTGTAAAGGGAAACCAACCCAAGAATACAGCAAAATATACAGTTCTATTCATCACAGATAATATCTTCTCATGGAGGAAGTAACACTTTCTCTAGTGAAAGACAAAAAAACACATATTTAACTGAGAAAACTGATTTGCAGAGAGTGAGAACAAAGTTGATAGGACTTTTTAGAAACATTAAGATTCAGAATGGAAAGATAAAGCCTTACTTTGAACTAAAGTTAATGGAAAAGATTTTTATTAAGATGCTACTCACCTATTCATGTAAGTGGCTTACTTTTTCAAAGTGAGGGTGAATATTAGGAGGTTATAGCAATAGCATGGGATAAAAAATTAAGGCTGTAAAACAATTTTGTGGCTTTTTTATAAAATTCAATTCTGAATGTATTTTCAGTTTTATAGTTGATAGCTCTGGTCTGTCCTAACCAGCAGAGTTTTTTTAAAAAGGGGAGGGACAGCGAGACCTTTTATATAGGCATTTGCAAAGTAAATTATATGGTGACAATAGAACCATCTTTCTATCTGCGTGTTACTTTACTGCTTGTCTTAGCTTTGGTTCTCCTCAAAGCATAGCCCCAGATTTGCATGCAGTTTATTTAGGAAAGGATCCCAGGGAACAGGGGTAATGGAGAAATGAAAACACAAGGAAGGAAAGCTAATCAAGGATGGATTGAGTTGGATACCACATAAGCACTAGTGCTTGATCTTGACTTTCTGAGGAGCCTTATGAAATACGAGAGGCCTGTTGCAGGAATATTCCTGCAAGAACAGGGCTTCCTGCAGCTGGAGTGAAGTAGAGAAGGGAGCGAAACCCACTGAGGCAGGCTTCGCTCCCGCTCCGCCGTGCAGCTGTTTATTTTCCCTCCCGCTCTGCCGTCCAGCTGGTTTCCCTCCCGCCTCTGCCGCCTTGGCTCTGTTCCTGTCTCCACCGCCTCTACTTAGCTCCCTTCTGTAGTGCTTCGCTTCCACGTTGTCTTCAGACTTTGCTGCCAGCTGGTATATGTAAATTAACTGCCAGCTTGGTTGGGTTACATTGCATATAGTTGCTCTGATTGGCTGGTGGGTGTAGCAAAGGTAGAGTCAATTAGCATCTTTGTCTTTTATTAGTGTAGACTAGAGGCCCGGTGCACAAAAATCTGTGCACTCGGCAGGGAGGGGTCCCTCAGCCCGGCCTGTGCCCTCTCCTAGTCTGGGACCCCTCAGGAGATAACGACCTGCTGGCTTTGGCCTGCTCCCAGGTGGCAGAGGGCAGGCCCAATCCCTAGGTGCAGCCCCTGGTCGGGCTCAGGGCAGGGCCGACTGGGGAGTTGGGGCACCGCCCCGTCACACTCAAGGCAAGGTCAATGAGGAGGTTGCGGTACCACCCCCGTTACACACACAGCAGGGCCAATGGGGGTTGGGGCGCTGCCCCCTGTCACTCACAGAGCAGGACCCATCAGGGGGGTGGGGCACTGCCCCATCACACACAGAGCAGGACCAATCAGGGGGTTGGGGCGTGGCACCCCCTCACACATAGAGCCACAGGACGATCAGGGGGTTGGGGTGCCTTCCCGTCATGAACAGAGCAGGGCGGATAGGGAGGTTGTGGCCCCGCCCTCTGTCACACACAGAGCCGCAGGGCGATCAGGGGGTTTGGGTGCTGCCCCCTGTCATGCTGATCCAGGTGCCAGGAGGCCTTGCGGCTCTGCTGATCCCGGTGCTGGGAGGCATATTACCCTTTTACTATATAGTATAGAGGCCTGGTGCATGGGTGGGGCTGGCTGGTTTGCCCTGAAGGGTGTCCTGGATCAGGGTGGGGGTCCCCACTGGGGTGCCTGGCCAGCCTGGATGAGGGGATGATGGCTGTTTGCAGCTGGTCACACACCCTTCATGGTGTTGGTTCCCACTGGGGTGCCTGGCCCGTCTGGGTTAGGGGCTGAGGGCTGTTTTCAGGCTGGCGGGGGGCTGGAGCTCCCCGCTGCTCCTTTTTTTTCTTTTTTTTTTTTATTGTGGGCCAGCTTTAGCTCTGACTCCAGCTCTGAGGCCTCTGCTGCTGAAAGCAGGTATCTGGTTTGTTTGGGTTCTATAATCGAAACACTGTATCAACTCCAGCTCTGAGATCCCAGCTTGCTGAAAGCAGGTTTCTGGGGTTTCGTTTAGCTTCTATATTTGTAACTATGTTTCAAACTGCAAGCTCAGAGGCGGGGAACGTTGGTTTCCTCCATCACTGAAGCAAGCAAGCCTCATCTTAGTTTCCAGCTGCCTGGCTGCTGGCCACCATCTTGGCTGGCAGTTAATTTGCATATAGCCCTGATTAGACAATGGGAAGGGTAGCGGACGAAGCTAATTACCATGTTTCTCTTTTATTAGATAGGATGCCTCTGAATTGTTTTTGAAGGAGGGAGGGTGACCCACACCTCTTCCGAGTTATACACCAAGGGTCAAGCAGTTTCTGTAGCTTGTCAGAAGCCAAGAGGCAGGAAGTGAGAGGTCCCTGGAGTAGGAGGCAAGGTACAGTTGTCTAGTCCTACTCCAAATTGTTGATCATGGCAGCAGCTGAAGAAGGTCAAGAGGATTTGAAGTCTCACCATCCTTATAAACGACTTGACTGTTCTAATGCCACCAGAAGTGGTTAAATTGGTATTCACTATGGCACTACAGTAGTTTCTAACGTAATTTACTAGGTAAGTTACGGTTTTTAGATTTTACTTTTAAAAATGTTAAACATTTGAATTTGGAAAATTAACTGATATAGAATACTACATTCCTTATAAATATATATAAATTATCATTTTGTAGACTTGAACCTTTTATCATATGAAGCCTTTTACTATTTTTCTCAGAATTGTAAGGGGCACAAGATAAGAAAAGGAGATGATGAAACTTACTCCAAGGAACATTAGTAATATGGAAAAAAGAGTGCTAGGTTCATAGTCTATTCAAGTTTATAGTTTTGCCTTCTTAGACAACTCACTGACTCTGGTTTTTCCAATGAGGGATAATCAGTCTCTTTCAACTGTAAATGATTCTTGAACAGCAATGCTACTTCAGATGAAGAAACCTAAGCCCAAGGAAACTGGTCATGAGCAAATAAAAGCAGAAGCAAGACTGGACCGTAAGTCTTCGAATCTTAGAAACTGATGGCTATTTCTAGACTTGTCATGAATGAGATCTTGCTATTGTCCATGTTTTAAGGCCATTAGTAGCTACTACCACTTGGTAGGAAGCTAGGAGAAATAGAAACTGAAAAGTCACTCAAGATTGATTAAGAACTGTGCATTAAATCAGGGTGTTCAACTTTTGGGAAAGGAAGCTAAACCAATATTCATCTGACTGCATTTTGGGCTCCTTGTTAAAATTGCAAACTTCTGGCTTTATTTTGTGGCTGTGTTTATCTCTTCAGAAAGAATTAGGAATCAGCGCTTTTAAACCAGCCATTAGGTGATTCTCAAACAGCCTAAAGTTTGAAAACCATTAGTACAGATAAGGGGAAATGGGCAGAAGTACAAAGAGAACGAGCAAGGCCAGATAAAGGGAAAGGAAAGAGAAGAAAATGACAGGACGGCTGAGGAAAAGGATGCGGTATATACGAAAGCACTGTTTCATTTTTATGTCTGTATAACATAAAACTTAAAGCTACAACCTACTTAACAAAGAGAAGCTTATTAACCTTTCTAATGAGCTAGAACATTTGAAAAATTACCTCAAACTTCACACCATTGCTTGAAAATACGTAAGATTTACCCTCTTGGAACAATTGAACAAGCAACATACAAATGTCTGATGACAGCAACAGTCCCAAATTATAAATACATGGTTAGCCTCATATCCGGGTCTGTTTTGTGTCTCCTAATTCTATCTTCTCATTTACCTTTCTCACCTACTTTTACTTGGTTTTATCCTGTTGTATTTCATGTATAAACCTGGGTCATGTTACAGTATATCTTTTCCAGAATCAGACACACACACACCCCATAAATAAAACAAAATAATCCCACAAACTTGAAAATTCCAAAAGCATTTTAATATCCTCTTCTATGAGAAAAGGTGAACAAATAAAGTGAAATAATGGTTGTGCCTGTCCCTAGTAATACAATTGTTGGCAAAACTTTTGAGTTCCTTTAATGATCAATTTTAATGTATCAACAAGACAGCACTACCATAGAAGCTACAAACCTTGATGTTCAGAAGTGGACTTATCTGTAATGGAGCTAGTAAGGCCAAAGTGGTCTTTCAGGTGCTTCCTTGCTACTCCCCACCTCCACTCCCCATTTTTTGTGAGGCTCAGAGTAGGTTTTTGCAAACCTAAGTATTCGGGTCTTTATTCCCAGGTAAGTTATAAAATTACTATTTTTCAGGGATCTACCAGATTCAGTCAGGATAGCTGCTTTTCAAAGGCAGGATATAGATTTTTCATCCTAACACCTGGCAAATTGGACTATTTAATAGTCTAACATCTGCCAATGAAATGACACAAAGCTATAAATGTTTACTGAACTGAAATGAACTGCTAATCAATGTTGCAGTAAATCTCTTGAGTCCAAGAGGTGCTTTCAGATCTTTCCAGATTTCAGGAGTTCCACTTAAAACAGCAGAACACTGGACTAGCTTGCTAATCACTTAACAGTCTCACAGATGAGTATCTAAACTCCCATTAAAGCAAAAATATCATCAATGTCATCTGTCTCCTTAATGTTTCCTGATGTATTATGTTTAATTATTTGCATCATTGTCCATGAATCCCTTTCATTTTCATTGCTTCCTGTAAGATTTTCATGATTTTGTTTCTCCTTAGTTTGTATGACAGGATTTGAAGCTCTGCTACTCAAGAGTTGCTTACTGTTAGCGTGGACATTAGTTTTATGAACTGCACGGTGTAAGAATCTCCGTTTACTGATATCTGTAGAACTCTGAGTCCCTTGAGGGGATTGCTGAGTTTCCTTTAAAAGCGCCGGCTGCAACTTTCTCTGTGGTTTTCTCTGTCTCAGTAAAAACTTATTCTGTGATCTTCTTAGTCTCGGATGATGCTTTGAAGTTTTGCTATCTGAGCCACGAAGAAGGCAGTTGCAAATTGATGTTTTTATGCACTCTAGTTTCTTAGGCAAACTTTAAAGGACAGAGAAAGGAAAAATTTGAGATTGTTAAGTGGCAGAGAAAACACTCTCAAAAACTTTTAATTTGTCTTTTTTTCCACCAACTTGCAACAGAAAAATACACAATTATCTAAGTCCCATTTTTGTGTACAACCCCAGAATCATGATGAAAAATAAGGAAATAGGAGCTTCAACTCAAATCTGTTTTCAGAGCACAACTTCCCTCATTCAGGGTATAGGCAAATGTGTCCCCATTAGAGTCCCAAAGTAAAGTAGCTCCTACAACTGCCTAGCAAGGTAGCTTAGTGGTGAGATACCTCCATACTTAGTGCCAGAGCTTTTTCCTGATAACTGCTAATCTGTTCATAATGTAATTAATACGTAAAAAATACATTGAAAATTCGTAAGTGGAACTGGGGAAAGGATTATCTCAAATAGAAAAAAGTCTGTGAGGGTGCATTCATCCATTTCTGGATAAACAACTTCCTGTTGTAGCAGGAATTGAACAAGAAAAAAGGAATAAAAATGAAGGAGTTTATATAAAGAATGAGAAGACAGGGCTTCTGGCACACAGAACTAACAGCCTTGAGCTACCCAATTTGTGATTCATCTATATCGTCTTCAAGTTTGGGAGTTCAGAACTCAAATAGCTGACTTAGGTGTTTTGCTTCTGAATAGGATGCACTGCCACAAGGTGCACTGGTGCCTTGCTAACTGCCTCACTGTTTGCCGTAGTCAGATTTCAAAAAGATTAGCATGGGTCTGTACTTCCTGCCCAACCATCCTCCCCTCTTCCTTTTTAAACATATAGAACTTTGTGGGAGCCCATTATATTAGTAATTCATGATCTCTGTCTCCAAACTACTTTTCTTGTCTTAATATAAGCAGAGATTTTTAAGTGGGGAGAGGCTAGATATACTTCCCAGTTGAAACAGAAATAGAGCCCAGGCGGTGTTGCTCAGTGGTTGAGCACTGACCCATGAACCAGGTCAGAGATCGATTCCTGGTCAGGGCACATGCCTGAGTTGTGAGCTCAATCCCCAGTAGGGGGTGTGGAGGAGGTAGGCAATCAATAATTCTCTCTCATCATTAATATTTTTCTCTCTCCCTCTCCTCTCTGAAATCAATAAAAAAATATTTTTAAAAAACAGAAATAGAAAGGATGAAAACAGAAGAATCAGAGGATTTGAATTGACTTGTAGATCTCCAACACCCTGAGCAAAACTCTTCATTTCCTCACCTATACAATAGGGATAATACTGCCTACCCCACAATTACTGTGGACACAAAGTAGATTTAAAATATTCTACATTTTTAAACAGCAAAACAGCACTATATATTTGTGAAATACAAAATAATGGTTTAACCAAATAAATACCAGTTGGTTATCCTTTTCATGAACTTTTAATGATTATCATCTCTCCTCATTTACCTCTGACATTAAATCCAGTCTTGAGCAAAACAATTCTCTCCATCTACGGCTGTTTCCACCCTGAGGTGATCTCTTTTAGATGGACAGGCCTTGTGGGGATCCCAATGTGAAAACCCTTCCAGAAATTTATTCCTGAGGAACACTTAATTTCTCCCATATCCTTTAATCAAAACTCATTACAAAACCCTTACTATATCAAATTTTTTACTAAAATGGGAATATTTTTTCCATAAATTTAAAAATTTAACAAATTTTAGACAAAATGGGAACCACTATAAAGTCCTGAATAGATATATGCCTAACTATAGATAAGAGATTATAGTGGATGCACAGAATATTGCTTGAAGGATACATTAAAACCTGGTCAGAAGGACTGCCTCTGTGAAGGGGGAATAAGGATCTTTATAGCCATTTGTGGCTGATATTGTTACCATGAGCATCTATTATTTTTTTCAATAAAAATAAAGTCCTAAAAAGTGTCTAATTTCATGTCTTATTTCAAGCAATACTTACTGGCTCACAATCAAAGATGCTATCCTTGTGCAGTTCTATGAAAGTAAGAAATCAGTACACTTAGAGTCTAGCTCCTGTGAACGAACATTACCTGACCCTGACCTCAGAGTGTGGTGTGTGCCCTTGGGGAAGGCAGGCACCTTCTGCGTCTGCTCTCACTCACTTATCCTGCTGCTCTGAAGCTGTGGGAAGACTGTCCATCATTTCTACTAAAGCTAGCATCCTGCGAGGATTAAGTCTGTTTCACATACAATTGTATCCCCAGACATTCCTAATGCTTCTGAATGAATGGATGGAATGGTGAAAAGTATAAATGAATAAATTCAATCAATCAAGTTTACTCCTCCCAGTGATATAACTTTGCCCAACAAAAGCAGCAAATAAAATTACAAATTAAGTATATTCCACTTTTAGCCCCCCTTGGGCTACTGGACATGCCATTTTAAAGAAAGCTGACTTGAATATATATACTTATGCCCTAAATAACAAAAAAAAAGGAACATAATTTTTGTAATATACCTACCTATAACCTTGAGCTTCCACATGTTTAAGGCGGTTACTTTTAAGAAGTTTATTGCCCAGAAAGGAAGCCTGAGCCTTGAGTTTTTTGCTCCTGCACCACAGAATCGCCAATTGGATTTCTTCAGAAAGTTGTATGAAAGTCTCAGCCTCTTGGAATCTTTGCACAAAAGTTGTGGCACAGGGAGTTCCTGTCACTTTCTGAGAAGGTTTCGTTGCCTTTAGTTGGGATTGAGGACATTTAAACTCAAAGCTGGCCTTCTGAAATATGGAAAGGTGATTTGTTACTGAATTGTAAACATATGACAAGAGAAAAGCTGACTCAGACTATCAAAATTTGAAAATGCGTCTTTTTAAATATATTTTTATTAATTTCAGAGAGGAAGGGAGGGAGAGAGATAGAAATATGAGAGAGAATCATTGGCTGCCTTCTGCATGCCTGACACGGGAATTGAGCTGCAACCCGGACATGTGCCCTGACTGAGAATCAAACCTCCTAGTTCATAGGGTGATGCTAAACCAACAGCCATGCTGGCCGGGCTGAAAATCAGTCTTTTTAAAAAAAGAGAAACCTTTGTTAGTTCACTGTACCTTTCTTTTTTCCTAAGAAACTTAATTTTTTATTCACAGTCCCTAACACAAAATTTGTCCCCCTCTGAGCTACAATAGATCCCATCCACAGCTGAATTCAGTTGCACACAGGAAACAATATAAATATTCTCACACATATATCTTTCACCCACACATAAGAATAAAACTCCACATGATTAAATATCGGTCAAAGCCTATCTGATGGGAGGAAAATCACTGAAGAGCCCCTTTCCTCTGTACTACTGGACTCTCACAACTTGTTCTTCACTTCCTTATGTACCCTGAGTCACCCTCCTTAGTGACAGGTTATAAATGTTAATGAAGACACATGAAGACAGGGATGATTGCTGAACATATGTTAACATGCTTAACTAAGTACCATTTTCAATTTCAATTCAACCATCTTTTGATGTTGCACCTTTGTCTCTTCAATCCACCTTTCCGTATCAAGTCAAGTTTGAATTTTATCAACTTATACCAGGGGTGGGCAAACTTTTTGACTCGAGGGCCACAATGGGTTCTTAAACTGGACCGGAGGGCCAGAACAAAAGCATGGATGGAGTGTTTGTGTGAACTAATATAAATTCAAAGTAAACATCATTACATAAAAGGGTACAGTCTTTTTTTTCAATAGTTTTATTCATTTCATACGGGCCAGATCCGGCCCGCGGGCCGTAGTTTGCCCACGGCTGACTTCCACTATTTATGAAATTATGCCACATATTAGGTCTGCTTCCATCTTTCAATCAAAGCTTACCTTCTTCCAAATTTCTTATCCTCAAGAATATAAAAACCAGTAGAAAATAGAAAAGTAGAAACCTACAAATGCTTTGTGTTGGTGATTTGTTAAATAAGTCTTATCTGAAAGCAAACAGCATATTAGTGCTAACTGCTAAAAAATGTGGTAGTGATAGTCATGAATAAGAGGGATGCTGACCAACCAACTTCAAAACCTAGCAATAGGTGGATGGACTACAGAAGTTTCAGGATCACAGAGAACCACAGTTGTTACTATTTTGGAGGCTGGTGTAAAGGGTAAAGACCAGATTATGAAACCAAACTGCCTGCATTCAAATCCCAGCTCTGTCCATATCTGCCACGTGGCCTGAGCAAGTTTCTTGATCTCTATGTATCTCAGTTTTCTCACCTGAACTATGGAAACTAATAATAGCACCTATCTCACAGGACTTCTGTGAGGATTGTATGAGTTAAAATATTTTGGACAATGCCTGACAAACGGCAAATGCAATATAAGTATGTATTAGCCATTATTATTATTATTAACATAATGTAAATGCAAACTAGAAGCCTTATAAATGTTCAAGAAAGTACTCTAACGTTAGAAATGACAGAATTCTTAAATAGAATGTAAGAAATAATCCATGAAGCAAACCAGAAAAAAACAATTTTGAGAAGACAAAGGGTAACAGAAGTCAAGTAGTTACCAGATGAAAGAGAGTGACACTGACATACATATTGTTAGATCCAGAACAAAAAGAATTTACGGACACTGACTAAGAAAAGGAGTCGTGTTAAAGTTTGAACCTGGACAGGAAGAAATGGAAGCCTCATGATGAGGAGGATAATAATGACACTGAACCAATTAAGTATCTACCATACTCCTGATTCTATGCTGAACACTTTACCTGCATTAAAATGGCATAACCCCATGAGGTACATACTATTAGAAAATAGAGATATGAACAAGTCAAGAAAATTACATAAGGTCACTCAGCCAGTACAAACTAAAGGACTCAAACCATTTATGACTGCAAGGCCCATTCTCTTAAGCTACAGTATAATCCACACCTACAATGGATCCTAGGGTCATTTTAAAGTTCTAGCAAAACTCAATAAAATGTTTCTGAAGGCACTTTATTAACTGAATTAACTCGATGCACTAAAATCCCTTGGAGTGCCTCCATTCATAAGCACACTGAGAACTAAGATGGTACTAAGCTTAGAGCTAGGGATAAAAAACAGATTTAATCTCTGTCCTTGGTAAGTGGCATCTACTGTATACATTAGCAGAAATCAAGCTATAATAAATTAAGCCAAACCTGAATAGCTCTGTGTTTCAGCTGTTTGCAGAACGCCCTCACATCAAATTCTGATGACTTTGCTGTGGAGATAGAAAGATCAAATACAAAAACTTAGGCATACTATTTTCAAATCAACAAATTCTTAACTGCATGACAATATTTCTTGCCAAACTACTACAAAAGAAGTAGAGGAACTATGAAAAGAAGCAAAGAACTATGAAACGACAGAAATAAATAATTTAAAAGTTCAAACTTAGAAAACAGGTATTACCATACCTCTTTGAAGATAATCATTGTTAAAATTAAAAGGAATGGGCTATCTTCTACACAACCCATGAATGTATTGTAACTTCAACTTTTTTTAAGTATGTGCTATATCAAAGCATATTACCTTTGACGATTTTCTTATTCTTTACTGGCTGTCCAAGATCCACATTATTCTGTATATTGATCCTCATTTGATTAGCTTTTTTGGGAATCCTATGTGAAGTTTCTTCACTGCACCTCAGTGATTGCTCTTTTGTTGAGAACAGTTTATTTAGCAATTTAGTTACTCCCTTAGCTGCAAAAGCTGTAGGCATTTTTTTCTTAAAGACCTCTAAATAGGGCTGTCCCAAAAATTCAACAATATCAGAAGGAAAGGTAAAATCTTTGAAGTAAGGCAAAGGTTGAATCCTTGAGACCTCCTGAAGCAATCCAAACAATGACTCATATAAAGAAATCAGCCTTTTTAAAACACCTTTATAGAGAACCCTAGAGAAAGAAATAGGAGATCATGAATTAACCAGTAATTACAATTTGCAGATTACATAATTACCACAATTCAAAGCTGAAAATAAATGCCTATCAACCTACCACTAAAGATAAAAAACACTCGCACATATTTGCAAATAACCAGATTAGTCTAGCCTTAATAGAAAAACCCAAATACAAAATGTTACTTAAGCCCTAGCTGGTTTGGCTCAGTGGACAGAGTCGGCCTGCAGACTGAAGGGTACCAGGTTTGATTCCAGTCAGAGGCACATGTCTGGGTTGTGGGCCTGATCCCCAGTAGAGGATGTGCAGGGGGCAGCCAATCAATGATTCTCTCTCATCATTGATGTTTCTATCTCTCTCTCCCTCTCCCTTCCTTTCTGAAATAAAAATTTATTTTAAAAACCAATTATTTAAAACACACACACACAAAACAAAATGTTACTTAAAACTAAATGAAGCCCTAACCGGTTTGGCTCAGTGGATAGAGCGTCGGCCTGCGGACTCAAGGGTCCCAGGTTTGATTCCAGTCAAGGGCATGTACCTTGGTTGCAGGCACATCCCCAGTAGGGGGTGTGCAGGAGGCAGCTGATCAATGTTTTTCTCCTCTCATCGATATTTCTAACTATCCCTCTCCCGTCCTCTATGTAAAAAATCAATAAAAACTAAATGAAGTACTAGATAGAAAGCTGTCTCAAAGGATATGCACCAAAATCCTAAGTTTGGTTTTATCTAGGTGGTGAGATTTTAGGTAAATTTCAGGTTCTTTACATTTTTTCCTACATCTTAAAATTTCTTGAAATAAGCATGTTTTATTGTTGTAATCACAAAAACTTAAGTTATTTTCATTATAGACAAGAATGATTGTTTGACATAGAACATAATATGATTAGTAATTTTAACATTATTACCTCTAAGAATAAGTTGAAAAACAGAATGACTGAAAATAGTATTTAAGATATCCTTGTTGAGACAGCAAAGCAAGTTTTTTAATCTCCAAAGACAAATCCTGTGTTTTTTTTAGTTTTAATTTAAATTAGAGATAACAATCCCAATTGTCTAAAGCAGCCCAAATCTGGTTTTTTTACAAATATGGGGCAGATTCCGAGTCCAATTATCCATCAAGTAAGCTTCATCCTATATAATAAAAGGCTAATATGCAAATCAACCTAACGGCAGAACAACCAGTCACTATGACGTGCACTGACCACCAGGGGGCAGACACTCAACACAGAAGCTGCCCCCTGGTGGTCAGTGCACTCCCACAAGGGGGTGCACCACTCAGCCAGAAGCCAGGCTCACAGAGCCTCTCCCACCTCTGCAGCAGCGCTAAGGATGTCAGACTGCCAGCTAGGCCTGCTCCCTGCTAAGCCATCAGTTGGACATCCCCCCGAGGGCACCCAGACTGGGAGAGGGCACAGGCCAGGCTGAGGGACCCCCCTTCCCGAGTGCACAAATTTTGTGCACCGGGCCTCTAGTAATATACAGAGATGCAAGAGAAGGTCTCTTTACCTTGCAGCTACTACCAGTGTTCTTATATCAACTAACTGTATTTCAAAAAGCAGTGGTGTTTCAGATGGAGAAAAAGAATCTGGAGCTCATAAGGAAGGTCATGCCATTAAAAATAATAAACCTAGAGGCAAAAAGAATTGAGTGAAACAGCCTGCCCAGAAAGACCACTTTAAATGGGCCAGTTGCTGTATGATCACAGCAATGATTTTTTTTTATTATTATTCTAGTTGCTAATCCTAGGATTTCATTTGCTTAATTGTTTACTGTTGAGGTGGTCTCTTGCCTTCAGATTTAAAGCCTAATCTTTTGACATAAAACACTTAGCTTCCAAGTCCACCCCACATAAACTCTGATCAAATGAAACAGAACTCCCACAAATTCAGCATCCCCCGGGAAAATAAATATGAAAACCAGTGAAAAACCTAGGCTGAGTTAAAGAGATGAAAAAGAAAACAAATGATTTCAAAGATGTGTACATACATACCATAACCTGCTCACCAGCCCAACCATCACAAGGTTTAAAATAATGAATTCTTGCAAACCTAGGTGTTTCACAGTCAAGCTGGAGATTCAAATTAAAGTTGGAAAACAGAATCAAAGTAATTTGAATTTTCTAAGTTACATTTATGAAGGAACTAGATTGGAAACAGAATTTTTTTTTGATGAATTAAAGCCTTAAAACATGTTCTATTTAACTCATGGAAACTTAAAAATATAGAGCTTTCATTATTAAACTGAGTTTCTGAGGTTTAGTTTCGAAGATAAGATTTTCTGTCAGTGTCCTTAGGATAATACATATGAGAGAGAGAGCCAGTCTCTGGCAATGGTTGTATGAGGCAATTCCCGGGAAAAGGAGGCCAAGAAGCAAATTTATAAGAATTCCATAGGTTATAACTCCTACAGACCCCTAGCTTTCAAATGGAAATACTACTAAATTTATCCAAACAATTTCAACTGAGAAATAGGTATTTCAGTTGCTTCAAGGATACAGAAATGTCTTGCAGCAACAATCTAACAAGCGAAGTAACAATTTGCAGGCTCCCAAAATCTTCATCAACACAAATTCCACCACTGGTTGGCTGGGGATGACACATGCTTTGGTAGCTACAGGCTGATTTTCACTTGACAAAAATAGAAAAGTATATTACGTTCATTATTAAATATAAAGTACTTTTATATACAAAGTTGGGAAAGAGAACCAAAGTAATTTGGATTTTGTAAGTTACATTTATGAAAGAACTAGATTGGAAATAGAAATTATTCAATCAAGTACAGAGTTGCTTTAAGCTCAATTTGAGCTAGTTATGCTCAAATAGGACTCACTGAAATTCATGGACACTGATGTTTCAATATAATCTTATCATGTCCCGGATTTCAAGTGACATCAGTCCCTCCCACAAGCCAACAAAAGATTACCACAAATACCAGCACCCCTAATTAAAACATTTGTATAACTGAGTATAATTGGTTATATTCCAACACCAAGCAGAAAAAAATCCAAAGGGAGATCACAGCAAAACAGAGTTCTCACCACAAGGCAATTGGACCACTTACTTGGAAGAAAACAACTCAGACAGATCTTGAATTGAACTCTCCAAATTCATGTTTTTCAAACGTTTTAAACACTGTTCAACCTGAAAGGGGAAGAGCAGCTCAAATTCATATGCATATAATACAGACAAGGCCACTGATGGGACCAGCAAAGCAAAGAAAACCAAAATTTCAAAGTATGGAAATATACTGAATACCACAGAATACCCCCCACCCTTTTTTTTTAAGGGTAAAGAGTAAAGAAATCTGTAACTCAAAGTAATTGCTTCTGGCTAAAAATCTAAAATTTATCCAGCGAAACAAATTTCTCAAGTCAAATTATAACTAAGAATTTATTATGTGTGATGCTATAAAGTAGACCAAAGTAAGTATAAGATTATTCTCAAGATTATAATTTTTCTGAAGCAACATGATTTCTAATAGTGAAACTATTAAGACAAAATAGTAATTACTAAATTTCAGCAGCCTGTGAGTGCCACAGAAATGAAGAAAGTGATCAGTCTATTCATTTTACAAATGTATATTGAATACCTACTGTGTGCAAGGCATGCTGGGAAATAAACACTAACCAATTTCTAGTTGCTAAAAATCTAGTAAATTAGTGTGTGTGTGTGTATTAAATATTGAAATTAAAAGATATGCCTTATTTAAAATTGCAATCCCCTCAGCACTTTCTTTTTCTTTATAGCACTTATCACCATCTGACATTTGATTGATTGCCTTTCAACTATAAGTTCCAAGAGAACAATATATTTTGTCTATTTTACCCACCATTGTACTCAGTATTGAGCATCAAGTAGGCATTCATAGCATTTTTTATCAAAAAAAAGGAAAAATAGTAGCCATCCATTATATAAAATGTGTCAAGAATTCTGTGGTCCTTAGGAAATACCACACAAAGGGCATGCATGGGACTGCATCCAGACTGAAGGATGTCAAGATCTGGATGGCCACCGATACTGGCAAAGATAGTATCTTGCTAAAGCTACATATATGCTACTAAAAATCCAATCAAAGTTATGGACTCTCGCCCTAACCGGTTTGGCTCAGTGGATAGAGTGTCGGCCTTCGGACTCAAGGGTCCCAGGTTCGATTCCAGTCAAGGGCATGTACCTTGGTTGCAGGCACATCCCCAACAGGGAGTGTGCAGGAGGCAGCTGATCGATGTTTCTCTCTCATCGATGTTTCTAACTCTCTATTCCTCTCCCTTTCTCTCTGTAAAAAAAAAAGTTATGGACTCTCTCTTAACAGAGTGTCGGCCTTCGGACTCAAGGGTCCCAGGTTCGATTCCAGTCAAGGGCATGTACCTTGGTTGCAGGCACATCCCCAACAGGGAGTGTGCAGGAGGCAGCTGATCGATGTTTCTCTCTCATCGATGTTTCTAACTCTCTATTCCTCTCCCTTTCTCTCTGTAAAAAAAAAAGTTATGGACTCTCTCTTAACAGGATGGTTTTCAGAACAATGGCAGCAACAATCCCTAAATTCTCTGGGGTCAGCTCTTTTTCATTTTTTAATTATGGACACCATCCTTTGAGAGAAGTCCTGGCAAACCAAGATGGTAAAGCACCTGGGGAACACAGTAAGTGAGCTATGGTTCAAACAAAGCCGGGGAGGGGGCTTGAGAAGTTAGCAAGGAAGAGAGAACATGGAGAAACATAAGAACAGTTATATTTACATACATATATATATATATTTATACACACAGGTACACATATATTATATATATATATTTTTTTTAATTGATTTCAGAGAGGAAGGGAGGAGAGAGAGAAGCATCAACGATGAGAGAAGCACAACAATTGGTTGCCTCCTGCATGCACCCTACTAGGCACAGGGATCGAGCCTTCAACTGAGGCATGTGCCCTTGACCGGAATCAAACCCAGGACCCCCAAATCTGCAGGCTGACGCTCTATCCACTGAGCCAAACTGGTCAGGGCAGACAGTCTTTATATACTCAAAGTACTGTCACACAGAAGAGGAATCAAGACTATTTTCTATTCTCCTTTGGTGAACATTAGGGGGAAGGTAATTCCAGTATCTAGCTTTTGAAGGTAGAAAAAAATAAATCTTAAAGTAGATGAAAGTTCTTTGTAAACTGTTATGTGAAGCAGATATATAAGGCAGTAATAGTAAGAGTAATACTAGTTGTAGCAGCATGATGAGACATGCTCCCTACTCTAAGGGATGGTAGGGACATAAAACATGTACACAAATGCCTGCACTGCAGCACAGACCATGCTAAATGCCGTAAGAGAAGCCCAGATAGCCAAGACTCACAAGAAGAGGAGGAGTTCAACTTCACTAATCAGAAAGATGCAACTTAAAATGAGATTACCATAATAAACACTCATGTTAACCCTTGGGAAGAAATGATGGCTGCGAGAAGACTTGAAATGGAACTTAGAGGATGAGAAGGCTTTTAACAGGCCGAGATGGAGCGGACATGGCCTTCCAAACATACAGGAGCAGGTAAGCAAAGGCTCGGGTGAGGGAACAAACATGGTAAGGACTCGTGAAGAATTCAGTTTACCTGGGATGTAAAATAGATGAAGGCAAGAGAGAAGCCTGAGCTAGGGAAACTGAATAGGACAGACCATGGAGGATCCTGTAAGCCAACCTATGAGGTTTGGTCTTTATTCAGGAGACAATGGAGGAACATTAAAAATCAAAGCTGTGTTATAGGTGATCTATCTACTTTGCTTTATAGAATATATCAGAGTGGAGAAAAGATTAGTAGGATAGCAAGACAACTAAAAGTTGGCAAGGCTAAAAAAAGATGCAGCCAGAACTAAAAGGGACCAGAAGCAGAGGCAGTTTTGACTGATTCAATTAGATGGCACAGCTACATAAAAGGAAGCAGCAGAGAAAATGGAACACCAAATTTTTCTGAGTAATTATTCACAACTTGGAATCCAAGAAGAGAAATTTGTTCAATCTGAGATAAACTTGGTTTTGGAATTAAAGACTCAGAAGGAGATAAAGCTGCCCAGACATGAAAACTCAGGGAAAGGCCATGATCCCAGTTCTTTGATGAAGAAATCGTCATCTTTTTTATCTTAAGTAATGGGGATAGAAAATTAACCAGAGAGCATGAATCTGTAAGTTTAGACTCAGTTTCTGTAAATAACAAAATATTAAGTAGCAGTGTGATCTCCATCTTCATCAAGCAAACATGTTGAGTCTCAAACACAAGGCTTCCTCCTTACCTGTTTGAGGGCCAAATGGGGCTTGTGGCGGCCCATTCTGTTGTGATTGCTGTAAAGGACTGCACATAGCACATCTGTTTCTGCATCTAAGATTTGGCTCTTCAATGACAGTGTAACAAGGCAGCATCCTTTAAGTACAGCTTCAATACAAAGGTCTAAAGCAGAGAATTTTAATAAGACTTAAATATGTATTTCTGCATTAAGTGTATTATATAAAAATCACTGAAGGAAGCATCTTTCCTTATTTTTTTAAGATATTTTAATTATTGATTTTAGAGAGAAAGGAAGGGGGGAGAGAGAGAGAGAAACATTGATTTGTTGTTCCACTCATTCATACATTTATTGGTTGATTCTTGTATGTGCCCTGACTGCAACCTTTGGGTATTGGGATGATGCTCTAACCAACTGAGCTACCTGGCCAGGGCTCCTTATCTGTTTTAAAGCAGCATTTTTTTCAATCTTTTTCATCTCATGGCACATATAAACTAATTACTGTGGCACACCAAAAAATATATTTTTTTGCTGAACTGACCAAATAAATAGGTATGATTTTGATTCATTCACACCAGATAGCTATTGTATGGTTGCCTGTTGTCATTTTTTTTTATTTGACAATCTAAGGGGAAAAGAGGTAAGTGCCCATAGTCAAGTATTACATGTTTAAAAAATTCTTGTGGCCCTAGCCAGTTTGGCTCAGTGGACAGACTGTTGCCCTGCGGACCGGTCAAGGGCACGTACCTTGGTTACAGGCTCATGCCCATCCCTGGTCAGGGCTCATACAGGAGGCAACCAATCGATGTGTTTCTCTGTTTCTGTCCGTCTTTCCCTCTCTCTTACACTCTCCCTAAAAATCAATGGAAATATATCCTCGGTGAGAATTAACAACAACAACAAAAAATTCTTGTGGCCTACTAATTGAAAATCGCTGTTTTAAAGGAACCAAAACCAAATACATAATCAGCCTTAACTCTAAGGATGTAATTAATGATTAAGTATGTAAGAAGTTGGAAAACAGTGACAGATTATATGGTCTAAAAATCAAGAGAATGTCTGTTAACAAGTGTGTATATCTGCATCACATTTTACCAGGACTTTAATAATCTTTCACAGGAGTACTTTGCAGTCATTTGGTGCACACTTACACCTTTAACTTTTAGTACCACTGAAGGTGGGGCACATGTTGTATACTTCTCTGAATCCCCCATTTTGTTACACACACAAGACATTTTAAGACTAATCGCCTATTAAATATTCTGCCATGTACTTTTTCCAAGTTTGTTTTTAACTACTAGTATAATACTGCTGTTTGACAGATTAAATTTTAAACTTATGTGTAGTAAAAAAAAAAAAAAAGCTTGTTTATGTACTATTCTAAATATAGTCAGTGACCATAATTTTAAACCTAATCGAACAGTATTATGCAGTTATTCATTTTGCATGCGTTGCTTGATGCTTACTGTGTGCCAGGCACTGTACTAGTTTCTGGGTGTATAATGATGACTATAGTTAACCAGGGTGATAATAGAGCGTAACATTTAAAATTAAAACTGCCTCGGGAAATCGAGATTAACTGCTGTAATTATACACCGTAACTTGTTGGATATTACAAAATAAAAAAACAGCATCATTAGATGTTCCCAGCAACCGGTGATGGGTAGGGAGGGAGGACTAACCCCATTTTACAAATGAGTAAGCAGAGGCCCAGAAAGAGCGCGGGGTAAGCCGAGTGCCTACGGGGCTCCCCCAGCTACTCCCAGCGAAAGCCGGAAACTGACGGAAGGTAAACGGGGTTCCCAGGCGCGTCCGCCCCCTCCGCCCCCTCGGCACAGCGCGTGGGCTCAGGGAGGCGCTGTGCAGCCCCAGGCCCTCCCAGCCTCCTTGGGAAAATCCGAGCACAGGCTTGCCCCGGCCAGC